AACTCGATCTTCAGGAAGAGGTGCTGGAACAGTCTCTCTATATTCTTTGCGCTATATCTTCTACAGCGAACACACTTCATAAGAACTTTACGTACTGTTTTTCTTCTTCCTCTCAGGACCCAGAATTTCTGTCGAATATTGGCTAGTACGAATTGCACACCAGCGTGGGATAGTCGCAAATGGTAATCTAAAATTAACCTATGAACTAAGTCATGATTTGAGGGCAATACAATTGGACAGAGAAAATTTTCTTCTTCTTCCTCTCTTCTAGTAATCTTGGTCTTTAACCGAATAAGGCCATCTGAGTCAAAAAGGTACAAAGGTTGCTAACTTTAAGTTCTTTGCCAAATGCTTCTATTTGTATTAATCTTGCATATTTTCTTTTCTACAGGTTTCTATTTCAGGGACCGTGAGTTCTCCTGATTGTTTAGAATCTGGTCTTCTGCAGTTGTTGATAAATCTGCATATCCAAGCAGTTATTCTTAACATTTTATGGTAAGATGAATATTTCTCAAAAAAATGTTCTACCCTTTGCGTATTTAGTGCAGAAATGACTGATTTCCTTTTTTCTGAATTCACTATTTCCATGTCCGGTATTTCCCTTTGTCTAGGCCATTCTTCCTGATTTTTCTTCAGCCAGTCGGGGCCCTCCCACCATCTAACTATCTAACATCTAACTATAAAAAGTTGTTTAGCGGTGCAACCTCTTGATGGGAGGTCAGCTGGATTTTTTGTTCCAGCAATATGTTTCCACGTTTTTGGATCTGTGAGTTTTCTAATCTCCTTGACTCTGTTTTCCACAAAGACAGCCCAGACAATCTCTTCCCTTTGAATCCATGTCAAAACTGTTGTAGAATCCGTCCAAAAATGCGTTTCCACATTTTGCCATTGTAAACCATTTAAAACAGAAGAGCATAGTCTGGCACCTATCGTGGCAGCTATCAATTCCAGACGAGGGATCGTAATAGATTTCACGGGAGCTACTCTAGACTTCGATGCCAACAGATGAACTTCAACTCCAGAATTCGTCACAGTTCTCAAGAAAACTGCAGCAGCATACGCATTACTACTGGCATCACAGAATGTGTGAATGCTGCAGAACTTCCTATTGTCCTTGCTGGAATGTATCCAACGTAGGAGGGATATTTCTTTTAAGAGAAAAAGGCTTTTATACCAATTCACAAAATTTTGTTTTGTACTCTCGTCAACTTCAGTATCCCAAGAAATTCCTGTTTTCCATAGGTTCTGCAACAATATTTTAGGATACAAGAGAACAGGACTCACAATACCAATAGGATCAAATATTTTGTGTGTTACAGCGAGAATTGTTCTCTTCGTTATTATACCCATTTCAAAATCTTCTAGCCAATTCAGATTCAATTCAAAGTTAAATTATCTTTCTGACAGTTCCATAACAGACCCAATACGGGTGAAATAGTTTCATGTTTCAGGTTATCTCCGTTATGTAACCAACCTCGAAGATTAAACTTTCCTTCATTCATTATTTCTCGAGATTTTTCGATGAACTGGATCATCTCGGATTCTTTGTGTCAAAACTGGCAACAACGTTATCTACGTAGAAGCTACGCAAGAGTTTAGCTATTATCTCCGTATCATATGAAGAATTTTTCATGTACTTTTGTAGATGGAATTCTATAACAGCTGCCAAAAGGAAAGGACTACTCTTAACCCCAAATAATACTACCCTAGTATGACGAAATATTTTCGTTTTCCTTTCTTCCACATCATTCCACCAGAAAAACCGAAGCCAGTCTCTATCTTGAGGCCTTACACTGATCTGTAAGAAAGCCTTTTCAATGTCTGCTATAGCAGCAAACTTGCCTTCCCGAAATCTCAACAAAAGAGATGGAATTAGTTCTATCAAATTTGGTCCACACTCCAAACACTGATTTAGAGAAGGAGACGATTGTTTCCTCGCAGACGCATCAAACACCGGTCGAATTGGTGTTGAGCTATTTTCTTTGATCACCGGTCTATGCGGTAAATAATGTCCAAAGTCAACCGCAATATTTTCTTTAACTTCTTCGATCACTCCTAAGTTACACCAGTCATTAAAAACTGCATTGTATGAAGAAAATAAATTTTGAGATAAAAGTTTCTGGGTGGTAGATTGTAGACGTTTCAACGCTAAATCCTTGTGGGTGGAGAGTGGTACATGATTCTCCGCCCACGGAAGTGCGACTTCATAACGCCCTTCTTCGTTTAGAGATACAGAATTTTCGAATTGCAATTTTGCTTGCAAATCCCTTTCCTCTCTAGCCTTTTTTGTAACTGGATCTGTTATTCCGATAACATCAAGCCTCCACAGTTCTGACAACGTGGCATCAGAAATATGTAAAGATAACGAAAGCGTGGAAAAGGAATTTTCTATTTCATAATTGTCAGTGTTCGCTTTCCCCATGACTGTCCACCCAAGTCTTGTACTTACAGCAACTAATCTTCCCCAAGGAAGAACTTCGATTTTACCTGTAAATAAATTTGCAGCAACATCTGCCCCTAACAACAAATGAATCTCTTGGGGGTTCTCCTGGAATAATCTGCAATTTCCATTTTCAAAAACATCACTGACGTAAATTCCTCTTCTTCTAAGTTCCCCAATCCAGTGTATATTTTTGATTTTAGGGACCGAAGAACATATTTTTCTTTCATCCAATACATTGATTTCGCAATTATACCGTTTATCTACGCTACCCAATTTTATTCTATAACGTTTATGTTTTTCCGAAACTTCTATGCCACCGAAAAGTCCGTGGGTTACACTTTGTTCACCTAAGCTTCTTAATTGTAACCTTTCTGCTGCATACCTGCTTATGTATGAGTTTTGACTTCCGGTGTCAATTATCGCTCGAACAAATTGGTTATTCCCTCTTCCATATATGCGAACAACTAAAGTTTGCAAATATACTTCTGAACATCCTGCTTGATTTGAAAGTACTTTATTTTCTATCTGTTTGTCTTTTTTAATTTCCGAAACTTCGACAGAAGGATTTTGTTTATTACACATAATAGTTGCATGTTGTTTTTTACAAATAGAACAAGTTATTTTTGTTCTGCAGTTTTGAGCCAAATGGTGTAATTTTAGGCATTTATAGCAAGCACATTTTCTTTTTAAAATGTCCCTTTTTTCTTGTAATGATAAGCCGGAAACGAAACTACAGTCATAAGTCTTGTGAAATTGATTACAGAAGACGCAGTTCATATTTTCCTCTCTGCATTCGGATTTTGTAAACAAATCTGTAGCGGTCGGAATCTTTGGTTTATTATGTCTATTTGAGAGACCATATGCGCTTTTCGTTGCAGGGGGGGGGGGGGAAGAAGACTGTCGCCGATCGGATACTTTTTGCTGTTGCGAAACCGTTGACCTTGTGCGTTCGCGGGATGAAAGTTCTGCGTGTAAAAATGACATTAAATCTTTTATGTTATAATCGGTGCCAACATTTTGTGTTCTATGAAATTCAAGCGTTAATTCTGAAGGCAATAACTTCAAAATCATCGGACACAGCAAAGCGCTGTAAGATTCCGATACAACATCTAACGCTTCGAGACATCTAATCTGTGTTTGTACTTTATCATACAAGTTACGAAATGTTTTTATGTCATTCGCATTTTTTAATGATTCAATATTCAGCAAATTATTCATGTGCGCATTAATAAGAATGTCTCTCCTTCCAAAACGGTCGTGTAAGATTTGAATTGCTGAATCATAATGTTTTGGCGATAACGGAAGTCCTTGAACGCAGCTAGCAGCTGTTCCTCCTAAATATGCTTTCAGGTAATTAAATTTGTCTACTTTGTTCAATGATTCGTTATTATGTATTGAGGACTCAAAACTATTCCAAAAAGTAAGCCATTGACTACTGTTCCCATAAAATACGGGAATCGAAAGTTTTGGTAATTTAACATTAGGGTGTATCTTTTATATTTTGCTGTGTGTTCGGTGCATTTAAGTCATGATTAAGTTCCTTAATCCGTTTCTTAAGCCTGAATTTCCATAACGTTATCTTCTCGCGATATTGTTCTGTAATTTCGAATTCATCTACACTCAGAATTGGTTCAACTTCCACATCGGCATTAGATAGCGTTTTCGGTTTTAGCATTAAGCTGTTCTAACAATTCTTCGAGCTCATTAACTACTACCTTCAGATTTATTTAATTCACTTTCGATTTTCTTAAATAGTTTTGTAACGGCAGTTCTTAAGATACTTCTTTCTTTTTTTAATTTTTCTACTTCAGCCATTATCTTTCTTAGATTCAAACACTTACACAAAAAATATACGTCTCATGAAAAACAAATATTTAACTCTTACTTAGAAAACAAAATTATTCTTTTGCTGAATACTTCAAGAACAAGTATTAAAATCTTCAATTTAATATTCAGCTTTTGAATTCACTTTATTAGAACTTTTCAAAAAACCTGGCGTCCCTGTTCGGGCGCCATAAAAATGTTGCATCAGGTTCTTCTATTTACAATAAAATTAATGTAAAATTCCTTACCTGCTGCATCTTCAGTGTTCTCGACGCCAGGCTTCTAATAATCACGTTTTCCAGTAAGAGTTTCTATTACAATTAGCAGGCCATCTTGTCTTTTAATTATTTATTGAAATAAAAAGCTAATATACACTATTTACAAGGTAGGTGATAATTATTTTAAAACAGTACATTTTTAGTTCTGAGTCTTTACGCTCCTCAGAGCGGTTCCAATCTCGACTGCTCCTCGGAACTTAATTACAGCAAAAGTAAAGGAAGAGATGCCCGCCACCTAGTGGCAAGAATGTGACACACAACAAATTGTATTTTATTTATGCAGTTGAGGTTTTTTGCTGTTGATTGTATGTTTAATATTTGACTGCAGAATATATTGGTGTCAGTTCTGATATCTGAGAATGATAATATTTGCAAGAAATAGAGAATTAATTGAAAGCTACATTAATTTAAATGTAGCTTCTGACTTTTTAAAATTCTGTTGTTTACTTTTTCAGGTAGCCATCTGATTCAACAGTAGCCATTGGACATATCCAGTTTACATTCTGAGCAATCAAATAGTTTCTATATTATGAAGCACAACTACGACTTCAAAAGCCCAAGATTAAGGATAATTTTTAAGATTTCTGAACCATGAATTGAATCATTATAAGATTTTAATATAATAATTATTCTCAAATGGTTTAATTTGCCTTGATAACAGTTTTAATGTGTGCTTGAATTTTTGCATTAATAGAAATATTGCTTTATAACTTCATTTTGCTTTGCGCTCATGCATAAACAACATAAAAATGAAAAATTTTCCTTGTGATATAAAATGCATTAATATGGAAAGAAATATTTTCATTTTTTATTTTCATTTTTTTTTTTTTTTTGGTTGTTGCTATGAATTTCCTCATTCTATCTGTATTAAAAAATATATAAATTATCTCTTCATAGTTCAGGTGCATAAATTAAAAAAATTCTGCATATTTCTGTTATTAGTCATTAAATTTTGTAAAATTATGTATGAGTATTTTAAACTAAATCTATGCAAAGGTAGTACTGAATTCTGTGTGTAAGCTTATTTTCTGATGATGCATTAATGAAATCCACCTAATCTGCATGTACCTGAATCTTTTATGGAGACTTAATTGTGGAATATAAGTTTGCAGAAATCAAAGCAGCTTATTCTCATTGCAATTCATTTATCTTTCATTTAAAAAACAACGTTTTTCAGATTATGTCATTTGTAAAAAGTGCAAGTTCACTTTCATCTTTTCTTGCTCTTGACAGCATGAAAGCAATACAAATATTTCTCAATGATTATAGAGTGATTTTGTGTAAGATATGTAGGATGTAATATAGTATTTGTTTATATTTAATATGTATTATAAAAATCTTTTTATTATACTACATAATTATTTTAAATATTAAATAATCACTATCTAACAATCATTGTGTAATTTAGTGTTAATTTTTGAAGTGATAATCAAAATCCATTAGCTTATATTCTAGGTATTGAACTAGTAAATGAAGATACGGACCAAATGCTTTTGGAATTTGTATTTTTGTTACCAAATGCTTCATGATGCTTATTTTTGTATAAAATAGAGAAAATTGGGATTCATCCAATATGTTAAAAGATAATTTCAAGTAATCATCGATTTATCTATTGTATTTCAGTTCACAGAGTTTGTGAAATAAGTGTAATTCCTCAAGCTATAATTCAGTAGGTGTTCCATTTATGGATATAAAGTTACATCCAACTCCTTTGAATTCCACATAACAATAATATTAATGTCTTAGAAATATAATCAGTGCATTGTTAAGGGATATAATTGTTGTTTAGCTTGAATATATACTTCCAACATAAGTTATTAAGAAAGCATTCTTTCCATTGAAATGTTGCAGTTATTTTATCTAATGTACATAATTTAATAAAAATGTTATACCTTTATGTATATCTGTGAAAACTGTAGTTGGTTTTATAAGTTTATTAAAAAATTTACTTCTGTTGAACTTTACATGTGCATATAAATATTTATAATTTCCTCATTCATATTTCTTTAAAGGTAATTTAAGGTTGTTGTTAAATAAAAATTCAGCTGCTTATTGAGAACTATGCAAAAGTTGTTAAATATTCATGATAAAAATTACATTTGATTATACTTGTGTAATTGTTAAGGAAAACTTCAAATTAAAAACATGCTTAGGCAATTTTCTTCAATGTTCTGCAGGAAGCTACAGTACAAGATTTTTGTTTACCTTATAAAATCAAGATATGTGATTATTATACATTGTCATTTTTATTTGGCAAGTGTATTGGTTTAGATGTGTGTCAGTTACAGTGTACCTTTTTGATAGCAGCATGTAACTACTGCAGACTTCTTCAAATCTCTTTTTGGCTTCTGAGATAGTGATGACTATTCAAACACATCAAACTCATTGTCATATCATTGGAACTACTTGAAATGAATCAAGCATTATGTGGTATAGACCTGTGAAAATGTTCTCAACTACTATGAAGTTAGTCTGAAATATATTCAAGTAAGCTGTAGCATTTCATTGGAATTATGAATAAAAATGTTTCTTATGAAAATTTTTTATCATATGAGATGTTAATCACACAGGATGGTCTATTGCTTCATATTATTTGCATAATTATCCTCTTTCCGTCCACATGTTGCTATAAAAATGAAGATTTACCTATTTATCTTAAAAAAATGTTTCTCCAGAACCACAACTATTTATTCCATAGGAAAAAAAAGTAATTATTATCAACTATTAAAAGATTGTATGCAGCAGTGTCTAAAACATAGTGCATCTAGAGAAGTTGCTTTGCATTCTGTTGTGGTACTATGCATGAATAACTTGATTAGCATGTAGGTTCATTCTTTATAAACTACTTCTGACTAGAGTTTTTTCAATTATTGAATACTATGTATACTGAGCTACCTGTTATTCAAGAAAAGCCCAAAAGATTGTACAAACATCATCACATGTTTAGAAATATTTGGAACTTTGCTTTTGCTCCTATTTAGGCTTGAAAGCAGTTGACTTTAAATATCCTTAACTGTGCCTATATGGTTTACTTTTCTACAATGAACTACCTAATAAAGTAGCACTTAGTACATTTACTTTTGCGTCAAGATATTAAGAAATTTGCAGCCAAAGCAAAGAAATTTTGCCATTAAAAATAAAAACTGTGTTATCTGTCCTTCAAAAAGGTAGTAATAATGGCATGTTCTTTTAATGTCCATTACTTGAAGAAAATAGTGGAAGAAAATAGTGACAATCAGTTAGATTCTAATTCTCACACAATTAGATTTAGTTTAAAATGAATTTACAATGTGGATAATATATTTCACAAGTAATAAAAGCAGGACACAGAAAATATTTTGCCGAAACAGGAATTTTTGTAAGCTTTTATCATGTATCATATGACATGGATATTTACATAAAAAATTAATAAAATATATATATTAAATAAATTGGGGGGAATTTAATTTGTTAGATGCATATATAACTGTATAAATAAAAATGTGATTTGAAATGCTGTAAATACAAGGCAGTAATGTTGAAAATATTTTATATGTTTCTCAATTTAATTGACCCAGTCAAATATTGCCCTAACATTTTGTGTATATTTTTAACACGAAATGAAAATAAAATAAATGTTTAAGCCCTGTATAAGTGCTGTTTCCCTTTATGTACATGATTCTATGTTAAATCTGTAGCAGGAAACATCTTTCCTTTCATATGAATTATATTAAAATAAACCTTAAAAATTATTAATTTGTTATGGTATTGAAGTATTTATTTTCAAATTGTTCTAGTAGCTAACAGGTATTTATGTATGATTCTATATTCCTTTCTCTATCAGTATATTCAGGAATGTTGTTAATGTAATATAAACAGACAAACAAAAAATTATAGCATCAGCAAGTAGGAACCAAAATATTAGTTTAAAACTATTATTGTTTGTTAATTAGTTAATATTATAGCAAAACATTTAAAGCTTAATCTACATAAGAGAAAAGATGTCTTTGAAAAAAGAAGCTGCAAATAATATGCACATGTAGAGAAAGTTGTTAAAACCCCATACATCTACTTTTTCTATGACTGTTATTTAAGATTTTTATGATAAACTGTTGTACAAAGTTATATGTACTGATACATATGTTATGCTTATTTAGAATAGTTCTCTGTTTATATTAATGAATCATAAGAATTCTGTATATATCAAGATTCAAATACTTAATATAAACTTTGATATGGGAAAATTAACTTTTTTACTTCTTTATACGAAGTAAAGGAAATACTGTAATCACAATATATTTTGGGTTTCACATTTCAATGAAAATATCCATTTTGACTATTTTTTGGCTTGACATCTGTACATATGGACAGAATAAAGGGCAGTTTATTATCTGTTATTCCAAAACAAATTGTAAAATGGATTCAAAAGGAATTTTTCCATGACATCTATACATACATAAGTATCTTGCATAACTCAAAAGAAATTAGCTGTAGAATATTGAAATTTTTTATATGGGACTGCTGTAACATCTAATTGTGCACCTACCTTTTTATTGCAATTGGCAATACCAAAAGTTTTCTTTATATATATATATATATTAAACAGTATCACAGGTTTTTTTATTTAAAACAAATTATCCCAATACCCATTCTGTGCAACTGCTGCTGAAAATTAATCAGTTATAGACAAAAAGGAAGTTTAGAACCACATCCACATCTAGATATGAAAGACATGAAATTAAAAATAATAAAATCCAAATTTTTCCATAACTATGTAAAATTCAACCAATATTCATCAAACCAGTAGAAATACAGACAAGGGAAATTTAATTGCATTCCTCTGCATGTATATTATTTTTTTTATGGAGAAATTTGGATTTTATTGTTATTTAATTTCATTTCTATCATGTCTGTGTGGATTTGGTTTTAAATTTCTTTGTATATATATATATACATGTACCCACCTTACCCAGCCTTTATTTTTGAAATCATTGATCATAGTTATATATTTCCAATTAAAAAAGTGTTTTAAATGACAAAAATAGTCATGCTTTGACAATTTCAAATTTAAAAAAAATTAATTCTGGACAAGTAATGAAATCTAACTTTTAATGCAGTCTCCTGATTCTTGTACTTATATTTGGGAAAGTTTCATACTTATTATGGAGGGGGGGGGAATACAAGAAGTTTGACTTCTTAACAACAAAGATTGACCAGAATATTTAATTCAAAATTTGCAATTTTGATGTCATTTTGAACTTGCATTGCAGAATTGGTTAATTAAGTTAGAATAAGTCAAGGAAATAAATTTAAATTAAGTGCAGCAAAAAATGTGTATAATTTAAAAGGCATACAAAAATGTAATGTGATATACACATCAGAAATTTTAAATAGTATGAAAATTTCTATTGCAGATATCAAAAGCAAGCTGAAATTTGTACGTGAAAAGAATAAGTCAAACAACTGCAATAATTATTAAGAGTAAATGAATGAATTTTTGAGTACACAGACACACACACACCATAACAACAACAACAAAAAACTGCTTTTATAATGTGACTATCACTTATATAATATGATAGTATTAATCATTGGACATGATCCCTAACATTTTATGGGATGCAGCAATGATGTATTCTAAGAAGCTTAATGAAATTAAGTCAGAGGAAAACTTTTTAAGGCTATTAAAAAAAACATAGTGAACATGGAGTAAATGATCACATTTTATACAAAGCCATATGTGAAATAATGTATCCTACCTTCCAAAAAAATTCAGGCCTTTCAATAATCCAGAAAATGATAAAAAGACTAGCTTTGTCTCAAGTAGTAATATTTTAATTACTTCTTACAAATATACCTAATAATAGAGAATTTCCTTTGCATA